GCGACGAGGGGGCGGGGGGGGGGGAGCACGTACGCTGGAGCTTGAGGCCCTGGCCGCCGGCCGAGGCGGTGGTAGTGGCGGCGGCAGCGGCGACAGGCGGCGTCGGCCGGGACGCCGGGGCGGCCCCGGCCGCCGACTGGAGGCCGAGGTCGTCGCGGAAGGAGGAGGTCGGGAAGAGGTCCGGCGTGGAGTCGGGGAGCACGCGCGCGCCGGGCAGGGCGCCCTGGGCGGCGCGCTGCGGCGAGGCGAACCCCTGGGCCGGGGCGGCGGCCTGCTTTTGCACCTGCAGCCATGTGCGTATGGAGGGGCGGTTGGGCCGGCATTTTCGGCCAGGGGGAGGGGACGGGCATCGTGCGCGAGCGTGAGTCGGGTGTGAGGCGGGCAACGAGGGACCCCCGATGCAGGCCGACCAGAAGGGGAGGGGGCGGGGAGCGGACGCGCGGCGAGAAAAAAAAAAGAGGAGAGCGCGCAGAGGACGCACGATGTCCGACTGGTACTTCTCCACCAGGGCCAAGAAATGCCGGATGGCAGAGTAGGCCTGCTGGCGAACGGACCTGCACGGCAGGGCAAGGGGGGGGGGGAGGCGCGTGCGTCAGATCCGGGCAGCAAGCCAAGGGGCAGATGGTCGGGGGCGAGAAAGGAGGCAGGGGCGGCGGGGCCGGGCGGCGCACAGTTCGAGGTCCACCATGAGCGGGCTGAGGGCCGGGATGATCTTCCCGGCGATGTCGGCCACGGTGAAGGGGCCGCCAGCCAGGGGGGACGGGTCGGCCGGGGGCGGGGCCGGGGCGGCGCCAGTGGTGGCCGCCGCCGTGGCAGCCGTGGTGGCCGCCACCGCCGACGACACCCCGGCGCCCAGCTTGGAGGAGATGCGCGACGCGGTGGACACCGGGCCAGCACCCTGCAGGATGCGGCTCTCCTTCATGCTGGAGGTGGAGACCAGCCCGCTGATGGCCGCGGTCCGAGCCGACGGGAAGGGGTCCTTCAGGGCCCGAGTGAAGGCCGGGATGAGGACGCGCTGGCGGGTCTGGGGGCGGTGTTTGCAGGGTTGTTTTTTTTTTCGTCCCCCGCCCGAGGGGTGCGCGCATGCGTGGGTCGGTTAGGGAAGGCGCGTCCGGGTGGCGTGGGCACGGTGCGGAGGAGGACCGGGCAAAAAGGGGGATGCCCCCCCCCGCGCCCTCGCTTCCCGACGGGCCGGGGCGCGAGAGGGGGACGCACCTCGAAGGGCATGTGCTCGGCAATCTTGGCGATGCAGATGGAGGTGTTGGTCCGGATGCCGGGCTCCGGGTCCACCTGGGTCCGGGCCAGGTGGTTGAGGATGTCGGTGGACATGATCTTGTCGGAGAGCTGGGCCCAAATGGCGGGAGGGCCGGTGTCAGGGCCAAGCGGGGGGTGGCGGCAGGCAGGCAGGCAGGCAGGCGGCTCGGGATCAAGAGGGGGGATGGCGTACCCGCGGCGCGAAGGAGACAACGGCCCGGACGGTCTGGTCGCGGAGGGGGGCGTAGGCGTCGGAGAAGCCGGCCGCCAGATGGGGGAAGATGATTTCACTGCACTGGCGCGACGTGAGGAAGGGCACATACACGTGGGCATTGTCCAGCAGGGACCCGCGCAGGGCGCGGTCCTGGAGCTCGAACATCTTGAGAATGCTGGGCGTGATCTGCACACCGGCCGGGGGGCGGGGGGGGGGGGGGGGAAGATGAGCGTAAGCATGGGAGGATAAATGAGGAAGGAAAGAATGCACAGCCACAAGCAGGGGGACAGGCAGAGGGGGACGCAGCGCACCCGGCTTTCGAAGACCAGCGCGGCGTCCTTGCGCGAATTGGCGATCTGGATCATGACGGCGAAGGCCCGCGGGCCGGGGCCGCTGCCGCTGACCTGCATCATCTTCAGGAGCTCCGGCAGGATGCGGTAGAAGTTGAACTCCGGCGGCAGGATCAGGGCGGAGGAGCTGTCGGTGGAGGACTTGGCACTGGGCTTCGACAGGTCCAGGGCCACGCCGGTGGCCTGCATCTCGATCCCCTGGGCCAGGCGCTTGAAGAAGACGTCCCGCTCGGCCGGGTCCTTGATGGCCAGCTCGGAGATGAACTGGGCGCTGTGCACCAGCGGGTCATCCAGGGGGGCCCCGCGCAGGAGGAGGCGCTCCAGCAGGGCCGAGGGGGCCGGGCGCTGGGCCGGGTCACCGCGCAGGATCTCCTTGTAGGTGCTGGTCGCCGGGGCGCGGGTTAGTGTGTGTGTGTGTGTGTATGTCCGTGTGTGAGAGGTGCGCCGCATGGGGCACGGCGTATGCCCTGCGGCAGGGCGGCGCCCCGGTGGCATGGGGGATTCGTCACGGCAGGGCGCATGCCTTGCGGCACGGGATGATGCGCGTGCGATGCACCAGCAACATGGGGCGGGGGAGGGCGCAGCAGACGCGGCAAAGGCACAGGGCAACGCACAGGACCAGGTGGTTCGGCAGGTTGGCCACATTTTTGATCTCGTCCAGCTGCTGGAAGGGGGGGTTGTAAATCTCGAACAGCAGGCATCCCAGGGACCACATGTCGATGACGTGCGCGGGGTGGGCCTTGGCCGCGGCCCAGGACTGGCGCTGGACCTCCGGCGGCCGGTACTTCTGCAGGCCGCCGAAGAGCGAGTGCTGGCGCTGTTGGATGCCGGTGTGGTCAGCATGTGCCCATGGCCATGAAGGCGACCCGGCCGGCGATGCCGGAGGGGGGGGGGGGGGGGGGGGGGGGCAGACAGGATCCGGACGTACCCCGAGCGAGTCGCCGCTGCCCATGGCCGACAGGACGTCGAAGCCCACCAGGCGGAACTCGAGGGCGCTGGTTAAGAAGACATTGCCGACGCACACACCGCCGTGGGCCAGGCTGGCGTTCTCATTGAAGAAGGCCAGGGTTTGCAGGAGCTCCGAAAAGCCGAGGGCCATGATTGAGGCATTTTGCCGGACGACATCCAGATGCTGCGCCAAGGGGCGGACATAGGACGTGGCGATGGCCACCATCGAGTCGGACTGCGGGCGGTCGGGCCCCGGGCATCGGGCAGGCGGGCGGGGGGGGGGGGGGGGGGGGGGGGGGGGGGGGGGGGGGGGGGGGGGGGGGGGGGGGGGGGGGGGGGGGGGGGGGGGGAGGCAGTTAGAGGCCGGGAAAGGGCCATCAGCGAAAGGGGGCAGGAGCGGCGGGGCCGTACACAGGTGCCACCGAGGCGGGCCTGCTCGATGATGCAGGCGCGGACGCCGTAGCGGGCGGCGCGGCGGGCGGCGCCAAGGCCGCCGGACCCGCCGCCGATCACCAGCAGATCGTAGTCATACGGGTGCGGGGGGACCGCGGGCGAGGTGGGCGAGGAGGAGGCAGAGGAGGACATGAGGGCGGCGGCGAGCGGGCGGGCGGCGGGCCGGGAAGCGGAGGAGATGGAGGCAGACGCGACGACGGTGGTGGCGAGGCGAGAGGTGTGCCCGAGCATGGTGACCAGCGGGGGCGGGCGCGGGGGGCG